CAAAATAAATTTCAAATATGTTCGATATTTAAAAAATAATTATTATCATTGGCTAAGATCACTATCACCAATCTGGTTGGCATTGTAAGCTTTGCCATTAACTATCATCATCATCACAAAAATAAAAATTTTTATATTAAATTAAAATAAAACTAACATATTTTAATATATTAATTATAATTTATTTTATATAAAATATATAAATAAACTAAATTATAAGTAAAGAATAAAACTAATCTAGAATAACCGCAAATATACAAAGCAATTTATTACTTTTTTAAATTTATTTTTGGAATATTTCATTGTATAATAAGCAACATAATATATAGTTTTAAATTTTTTTTAGATAACTAAGTCAATTAAATCAAATTCACACAAATAATATATAAATAAGGCTGAAATCAAATATCTTTTAATAGATAGTACTTAAAGCTCACGACTCAAAGATTAAGGCTTCGTTTGGAATGATTAAGCCGTCCCAAATGAAGTCTAAGACTTTATGCTTTCTTATTATTTTTTAAATCAATTTTTTAATATTAAAATTTAATTTTTTAACTAAAAATTTATTTTAAAAAATAATAATAAAACCTTCTCAAATGAAGCCTAAGATAAGCTCTGAGAATATAGTAATTTATAGTTTTTTATTTACAGCGGTACCACTCCACTCACCTTTCGCGTAACAATCCGTTACTTTTCAGCTAGTAAGGGTTTATCATCGTCACAGAGCATCTTTTGTAAGGGAAAAAAAAAAGCTTGCGCTGGTCTTTTCAAGGTTGATTTACTCTAATTATTCTTGCGAGAGCCAATAATTTTGTCTTTACTATACTACAAAGTTGTCTTTCTTATAATCACGAGTGCATCCAAAGTTGTGTGAAGTGAATTTTTCCATTTGAGCCTTCATTATTTAACTCCTTATAAATAAAAATAAAAAAAAATCTTATATATTTAAGAGAGCAAAAGAAAATTTAACTCATGAGTTTATTAATCATATAATGATGGAAATATGCAATTATTGATTAAACCTGCTGATATTTCTTTCAGTCTAATTCACGTACAAATACATCCTAAGTAACAAAAGCGGAAACTGAGCATGTATTGGGAGAGGAATTGTTCTGTGAGAAGATCGGACGCAGGACGTGTTCGGAGACCAACTAGAATGCATCACGTTCGCGGTACCGAACCGCACAGTTATGTATTGGCTATGTATGGAGAGTTTTTCAAGACACAATTTAAGAACAATAAAACTTTTGTTTGAAACATCTTTCTTATTGCTTTTAAAAGCAAGTTTTTTATATAAATATTTTTTGAACTAAAACATTTTGTACTAAAAAGTTGCTTTATAAAGCAATAAGAAAACCATCCCAAACGAAGCCTAAAAAGAAGAAATATTGGTTCTTGAAAGTCCATTGCATGGTTAATTATCTTTGACAAGTATATATTTTGGATATTTCAAGCTAATTATTGAAATATATTATAATAAAAAATAGTTTATAATTCTCTTAGAAAAGTTGGAAGATTGGGTAATTATTAAGTTGACTAAGCTAATAACTTATGGTAATTTTTATGGAAAGGGTAATATTATTTAGGCTTAAATCTAGTATGGACCAGCAGTTAAGTAGAGTGGCCCTTATCCTACAATGGAGCGTATTTTATGAGTTTTGGCTCATGAAAATTTTGACTTAAATAATATTATCTTAATTCAAAATTTAACTTTCTTTTAGTTTAAAGTTGTAGATATTATTGATTGTTAGACCCTCTAACTATAAAGAAATCCCTCTATGCTGATATCAATGTAAGAATCAATAGTTTTTGATATACAACAAACTAAAAAAATTGTTATAAAATTATGATATATATCAACTATAAAAAAAAATAAACTTAATTATCATTTGTGATAGAAAAATGCTCAAGACCTCGAGTGATACTCGATCTCATAATGGGTCTCACCACTTAGGCTTCGTTTATGATAACTTTCTTACTGCTTTCAAAAAAGTAACATTTTAGTATAAAAAAATTATTGTATTAAAAAATTAATTTAGAAAACAGTAAGAAAGTTATCTCAAACGAAATCTTAATATTCAGCCAAGTTAAATTTTATCATGAAAAGTATTGTCCTTCCTAGGTAATTTCTAATGGAGCAATTAATGCTACACTTCTCAAATATAATTATTATTTTTTGATATTTTATTAATTCTAAATTGCTGATGTAAATGCTTACAACATAAATATATTGTTGGAATTCCTTTTATTGAGAAGAATTCATTGCACATGATAGCAAAAGATGATTCATATGGAAAGTTGGACCTTATAGGCAACTTGCTAGATTCTTCTTCAATATTAAATCTACTCATGAGGTTCCTTTCACACTCTCCATTTATCATGCTAATTATAATCATCTTAGCCATTTAATTCAATTTAGGCCACATAAATTTTTTCCACACATTTCATTGGATGATTGAGTAAAATGATTACTACAAAAGCACAATTACATTTTGCAATTTGAAACGCCATGAATGATCACCAAGATAGTTAGGATGTATAGACACTACTTATTTCATTAAGTATGTTTTCAATAAAAAAAGAAAGAGAATTAGTATCAGATACATATTTTGGATAGTGAGGACATGATTGTTAGTTTTATTTAACATTACTGAAAAATTTTGAATATTCGATCGTGTTGCAGCCAGTTGGTCGATGGAAGCAATTCCTCCCAGTGATCCTGTGCACGTATCCCATAATTTGTTCGGAAAAAAAAAGTTGAATATAGATGATAAATGATACCACCTATCATACTACTTGTTGGCTTTTTGTTTGTTCTTGTATAAGAGTTATATTATATATTTTTAACATATGTAATGGAAGTAAATATATAATTAAAGTATGAAATAGTAGATTAAAATATTAATTTTTGGCAACAAGAAAATGATGAAATAAATTTTAAGAGTCAATTTTGAGATAACTTTTTGTTGCTTTGTTTTTAGACAGTAATTACTATTTTTTTCTCACTTTATTTTCAAATAATTTTGTTGTGACAAATTTATTTTTGCAATCAAAACAACTGAGTTATTTTTCCCACAATAATTTATAAAAAACTAAAGCCATTCTTAACTGATCTGAAATCATAATTTTCTCAGATTTGAAGCCTAAAGTCAGAGGCTGTTCATAAAAATGACCGGCTGTGATGGAACTTGGGACAAAGTGGGAGCTACAAGTTGTGCCATGAATCATAAAAATTGTATTCATTATTGAAAATAAATGAAAATTTAAAAAAAAAATAATAAAATCAATTTTAAAATATAAATAATTTTATTTAATTAATATGAAATCATTAATCACAACAATGCAATGTTAAATGTCATTAATTAAAAATGTGTAGCTTTGTTTTTTTTTATGCTACAATAAATGATCATAGTTAAGGAAATCTTTTCTTAGATAATGTAAGCTTGCATCACATACTTATAATATAAAAATTAATTAATTAATTTGGATTTAGATATATCTAATCATAGAATCCTTTTTAAATGGAAACAATGAGTGAAATTAATTGGACCATTCTACCAAAATAACTCTAATTACTAGAGATCACTTCTTAACAAACAAAATCATCATCACTTACTTCCTATGAAAATAGTTAGTTTTGTAAGGCTTATAACCATTATATCCATATTTATCATCATAATTATTTAAGGAATATATTGCATCCAGAAGCAATTGCATAAAAAAATTATATAAATAAATTCAAAACAAAACGTATAAACATACCTTTGTATTTCATTTTCTCTTAAAAGCATAAGAACTAAAGCTGATCATTGTACATATTGGTTAAAACATGAATGCATTACACATGATAAGTTAATTAAATTATTAAAAAAAATTAAATAAACCACATTACAAGGAGTCCTTAAAGATGTTTTTAAGGATAAAAATCTATTTTAAGCATTTTATTAATTAAAATTATGGCATCATATTGATTATAGATTAATTACAAATTAAATTTCATGAGAAATGTAGTAAAAATTTTAGGCTTCGTTTGAGAGGGCTTTCTTACTGCTTTTTTAAAACAGTTTTTTTAGTAAAAAATTATTAAAAAATTTCTTTAAGAAGCAATAAGAAAGTCCTCCCAAACTAAGCCTTCCTCTTAAAGAAGATGGCAAATTAGTCTAACTTGTGATCTCTATCATAAAAACTAAGAACATATCAATTGAACTAAAGATCTTTGACAATATTGTTCTTTAATTAGAGAAAAAAACTACCTTTATATGATGGAACTTTGACAATGCTACTGATAATATAAACAGCATACTTTTAATGCTTATATTGACATTTGTTCAATCTTACTAACTTTTTTTTATTCATGATTTCATGAAATCCTTTATTAAACTACTTGAAAGAGCTATCTTTCAAGTAAATGAAGACATTTTATTGTGTTTTCTTCTTATAAAGAAATTACACTGATCAGGAACCAAAAATTTTTAGGTGAACAACTTCAAAGATAATGCTGGTTTCAGCAATGATTATAATGCTTTAAATTTATTTAACCCTCAAAGTAATAAAAAAATTTGCTGCCCTAGAAAAGAAAAAAAAAATTGCAGAAGGAGAGCCTGAAAGAAATTGCAATAAAAGTGCAGAGAAGAGAAGGGAGGGAGATCATTTTGTCTGCATTTTTTTCTCTGTGGTGAATGAAAAACTCTAAATATTGGACCTTTTTTGTAATTAATGAGGAAAAAAATTACTGAGCTTTTCAATCAGGTTAAAAAGGTGAAGTAGAAATCATAGATTTCTGAACACAAATATTCTAAATTATTAATAGCATTGCATGTCGAGGTAAAAAAAAAAAAATCTAACAAAGCAGCAGTATTTATCATATATGTACGTGCATGTTTATATCAATATGTATACAGAAATACATAAATAAACCAGCTACTGTACTATCTATTCTAATTTTCTAACTATTCTTCCAAAAAGGCAGAATCTTTCACAAACCTAAGTAGAAGAATAGGAGTTAGCAAGCAAACAAAATTCTGATATAAACCTTGCTCTTAAGCGTATTATAACTCGTCAGCAAATGCACAAATAATACTAGCTAGCTACAATTATATACACTCAAATGCTTATAAAGAAGTAAATTTATAAAGACAGTGATGTACCTTCTGATTATATACTACCAAAGCACTTAATTCAAGCAAATGATCGAGCAAAGGAAGAAGCACAGATCAGCTTCTTTTTATCCTTGCCAAATTGTTTAAACTAATCAGAAGAGAGCTGCCAGGCATCCATTCCACCTTCTCCCCTAGCTGCCGCGGCTGCTGCTGGCGCCGCTGGGAACCCGTCAGCTGCCACCTGCTTCTCTGAATGAGAAGAACCCGTTTGATCCGTCTTGCAGCTTCCAATCCTCTTCGAATCAGATTCAGCAGATGCGCCGGCGATAACACTCCCCAGCTCTCCACCGGCGTAGCCGGCGCCCGCTGGCCAGTGAAACAGACCCGTCGCTCGCTGCTGTTCTTGAAGCAAGGATTGCAGGTTGAAGGAGGGATTTTGAGTATTGTTCAACAAGAAGTTTTGGTTTTGAACACCGCTGGTTGAAGGCAAGGTGTTTGACGAAATGCCGGTTAGGGAACCCGAAGCCCCTGTCGCCTGCCGTTTCTGCGCAAAGGGTCGGAGAAGGAAAGCTGGAGTCGACGAGGAAGCGGAGTGGTGAAAGAGGTCGAGGCGAGGACGGGAGAATACGGATGAGGTTGTGAAAGGCGGTGCTGGGATGCCCGTGAACTCCTGAACCATGGCGCGGAAGTTAGAGGTATCGGTGGTTAGAACGGTGGTCGGAGCACGGCGGGAGGCGCGCGCGCGTTTTTTAGAGGCTCGAGGAGCCGCTACGGAAGATGAGGCGGCGTTGGCCGTGGAATTGGGTGCGGAAGAAGGCAGCTGAGGCGGCTGCTGCGGCGGAGGAGGCCAGGTGGTGGCGTCGAGGTCGGAAAGGAAAGAATTTGTTTGGTAGGAGGGGAAGGGGTCGAATATGTTACGAGATGTTTGGGGGATCGGAGGTGGCTGAGGAGGTGGGAGGTTGAGAAAGGAAGAGATTGTGTCGGGCGGTTGCCGGGAATCGAAGTCGTCGAAGTCGCCGCCGCCGCCGTTGGAGGACTGGAAGCTTTCGCTCGTGGCAGAGTCCATGGACATCTGTGAAAGTTTGAATTTTGAAGAAAGTTTGGGAATAGCAGAAAGCGTGCGAGCTTTGAGAAGGAAGGGATCTGGTAAAGGTAGAAGAAGCTGGTTGGGTTGATTGGTTTCTTACTTTTTCGGAGAGAGAGAGAGAGAGGGAGGGAGAGAGAAAGAGGAATTTAGGAGGTTGTGCCTGACTACTGAAAGAAGAGGGCGGCTTGAGGTAGCAAAAAGATCCTGTAAAGATGGGGAAAGGAGGTGGGCCAATAGGCTGGTGAAGGAAGGTAGCCAGTCACGCACTGATAAAGAGAATTGTATTAGTGTGTGATTTACTGACTTTGGAATTTGAGTTCTTTCTTATTATATTCATAATTGCGTGCAGTAATTGGTCTTGTTTAGCTTTATTGATCAGATAATACATTGGGCTTATATAAAATCACACATTATAACTTTTTAATAACTACAAAATTCTTTTTTTTTTTTTAAATTTTTGGATGAATAACCTTAGATGAGACTTTGTTCTTGCATTTTAAAAGTAATATAATGACATTTTATATGTGATGTAATTAAGTTAATTGTATGGGCAATAAATGGAAGTTGTTAAGATTTTAAAAAAATTAGCAAGGAGATTATATGAATGCAAATTAAAGATATTATTGAATTAAAACTTTCTTTGTTTTTTAAATTTTGATGTATAATTTGTAGGTAAATATATTTATATTATTATGTATATATTATAATTTATATATTTTGATATTATAAGGAATCAAGATATAAAAAAATCATGATTAAAGTTTAAAACACTTAATTATAATTTTAATGATCATAAATATAAATCGATAAGTGCTAATAATATTACCTAAGGGTAGTTCATGAGTGAGCTCAATTGCTTTAAGTCAAATCTAAACTTACAAATCATGTTTAAAATTACATTGAATTGAACTTATGATTTTATAAAGTTGGTAATTTGATTAGCTTGAGTGAAGTCGGTCTTCGTCGCAAGATTAAGCCTTCGTTTGGGACGATTTTCTTACTATTGTTTTTTAAAGTAACTTTTTGATATAAAAGTAAATTTTTTTTCTAAAAAACTTCTTTAAGAAGCACCCAAAAAGTCGTCCCAAACTAACCCTAAGTTTCAAGTCCAAAATAATTATTCATTTATTAGTTCCAAAAATATTGTTATCTAAAAATATTGGGAAAGTTTATATGATGAGTACATACTAAAAATTAATATTTAAAATAATCAAGAAATAAGTATTATCAGGCAAACATTGCTAATCGTTCCATAAGATGATGATTATAGTATGAGTAGGTTCAATCATAAGTTTAATTATATCCAATTTCTTGATTAATAAAGATTTAATTTAATTAATAAAATTAAGCTTACAGCCTACATATTATAATTATAGATTTTGACAAATGATAATAAAGTTTCAAAATTTTGATTTTTAACTTTTGTTTTAGAATAATTTGAAAGATGGAAAACTAATCTCACCTTTTATGTAATCTATATGAGATTGGTTTTCAATGCAATAAGAAAAACTTCACACAACTTTGAAAACAAAACCTTAATGATTTGTGAAGTAACGGAAGCAGAAAAAATAATAAAATCAAAGATCTGAGAAAAAAAAGCTTATACTTTCAGTTTTGAAAAGAAAAAATTTCATAAAAGGAAGTATGAGTAAACTATGAACACAAAGCTTTATGTTGATCAAACAAATCACTAGAATTAATCTCAAACATAGATTTATTTTTACTCTGAAAGATGAAAATTGTTATGATGCTTACAAGTGAGTAGATTTGCAAGGAGAGAAAGCTTGGACATGATTTTCAGTTCTTTAGATTTTTTGGATTTTTCTGTAGGAGTGCACAGCGGGGAGGCTATCAAATACAACAGAAGTTGCATATTTAATTACTTCATAACTTCTTTAGTTTGTATTTCTTTACTGTAAGTCTTGTATTTGGTTTAATCCATGTAGGAAAGCTTAGAGAAGTGTAAACTAGCCTTTAAAGGCTGCTGAAAATGAACTCAGATGTTAACAGGTATTGAGCTTCTATAAGGCTCAGTAAGAAGGCTTTTATTTGTATGTAAGGAAAGAAATAGTTGTTTGGGAAGGTATTAAAAGCTGTTCTGATCATGAAATAGGGAAGTTTACAAACCATCAAAGAGCCATATTGAAAAGCAATTGTGTGCATCTTAGAGGTTAAGGGTTTTGCTTCAGATTTGTTTGAACAGTACTGTTTTGAGGGTTGCGTTGTGGCTTAGCCTTCGTTTGGGACGGCTTTCTTACTGTTTTTTAAAGCAGATTTTTAGTACAAATATTTTCATTTTTTACTAAAAAAATTGTTTTAATAAGCAATAAAAAAATCATCCCAAACCAAGCCTTGATGAAATGAATAAGGATTTAGTTATTAGCTCATAAGTTAAAATGGCAATATCATAACATTGACTTGAAGTCATGATATGGAGTCAATGGACATTGAAACACATCTTGATATCTAACGCACCTATCCTCAGCTGCTTGAGGTGACTCAATGGACATCAGTCAACCAGTGTTGTGGGTTGAGTGGAACTACTATGATTTCATATTATTATGAGGCACTTTATAGAAAAATATTAGAGCATATAATAATATATTTGTTATTATCAATATCATGATACTAAACCTTAAAGATTATAAGCTAACAATCTCCTCTTTTGGATAAAGGAGAAATCTTACCTTTCATCATAAATTACAGTGCATATTATATTTTAAATTTTTTATATGTGATATAACAAATGTAATTGCTAGCCTTTATTAAAATTATAAAAGTGAAAAAAAAAAAATTTTTAAAAAATAGTGAAACAGATATAGCTAAGGAAAATCATAAAGCTCTCCTTAAATATATGCATGAGATAATTTTATAAAACAATACAAACCAACATGCCTATGACTACCTCATCTGATTATGGTTCTCCAAACATCATCTCTCAACTATGATCCTCTAAACATCATCTCCCAACTACAGTTCACCAACCATTATTGGCTAATTGTAGCATATATGAACCATCGTCCAACTATAGTTCTCTAACCATCATTGTCCAAATATGATCCTCTTATTAGGAATAGAAGTATGTAATAAAACAAATAAGAAAAGAAAATAACAAAAAAGAGCACTAGGATTTAATGTGAAAAAAATTGAAAACTAAGAAAAAAATTATGGAGCCACACTATACCAACAAATCCACTATGAAAATTGAGAGAAAATTTTCAAATATATCTTTCATACTCTCTCCTTATCTATCTTTACTTCTCTCTTCATTATTAACTCATAGCAGACAAGCATACACTTTTTAATACACCAAAGGACACAAACCTTTAAGTAAAACAAGATAAAGAGGAAAGAAAAATTGCTCAGCCAAATTCACAGTATCATAACGTTGGGGTATTGAGCTTCATAGCCCTTCGCTCTCATTCTACAGCCCAAGCCTAGAGCGTTGCAATGCTCCGGTATACAACATTGCAATGTTTGTATGAAAAAAAAAATTTATGGGCAAGGCTCCCAAAACCCAAGCTGGGGGAGCTAGTGTAACGCCTGGTGAGCTTGACCGATAGTATTTAGGTTTGAGAAAACATTACAACTTGATTTATCTACATAATCGAATTCCACACAAAAATAACACCTCTAACCAGCTTTGCCCAACTGCGATAATGAAATACTAGTGCATAACTACTTTTTTTTGTCCTTTATCATCTGAGTACGATACTTTGTCCATTATCGCTTAGCTATAATCTTCTAAGCATTATTACTCAACTATAATCCTCTGATTATTATCATATAACTATATTCATCTAACCATTTTTTCTTGCATATGGTCCTTTGATCACCTTCCTCTGACTATGATCATTTGACAATCATTCCTCGACTACATTCCTCAAATTATCATTGTTCAACTACAACCCTTTGATTATCATTGTTTGACTATGGTCTAACAACCACTAATATCTGACAACAGTCCTCTAACCACTGTCTTCCCACTACAATTTTATGACCACTTTCACATGATGACACAGAAACTCATTGACATATTGTTGCGCATTGTCACTAATAACATTGACATATGTCATTATCAATAAGGCTAATGCATGCCACCAATATTAATGTGAATGACTCATATATTTTGTCGCCTAAAATTGTCTTGATGTTAATGCATGTTATTACATATAAGAATGATTAATGCATGCCATTATAAAAAAAAGTCAATGCTAACTAATTTTATTGCTACCAACATCGATGCATCTCATCACTAACCACTTTATAGAAAAATATTAGAGCATATAATAATATATTTGTTATTATCAATATCATGATACTAAACCTTAAAGATTATAAGCTAACAATATCTTCTTTTGGATAAAGGAGAAAAGTTACATTTCATCATAAATTAAATGCATATTATATTTTAATTTTTTTATATGTGATATAACAAATGTAATTGCTAGGCTTTATTAATGTTATAATAGTGAAAAAATATAAAAATATATATATTTTTTTAAAATAGTGAAACAGATATAGTTTAGGAAACTCATAAAGCTCCCTTAAATATATGCGTGAGATAATTTTATGAAAACAATACAAACCAACATGCCTATGACTATCTCATCTGATTATGGTTATCCAAACATCATCTCTCAACTATGATCCTCTAAACATCATCTCCTAACTACAGTCCACCAACCATTATTGCCTGACTGTAGTTATATATCCACCATCGTTCAACTATAGTTCTCTGATTATTCGAGTACGATACTTTGTCCATTATCATTTGACTATAGTCTTCTAACCATTATTACTCAACTATAATCCTCTGATTATTATCGTATAATTATATTCATCTAACCATTGTTTCTTACATATGGTCCTTTGATCACCTTCCTCTGACTATGACCCTTTGACAATCATTGCTCGACTACATTCCTCAAATCATCATTGTTCAACTACAATCGATTATCATAGTTTGACTATGGTCTAACAACCACCAATATCTGACAACAATCCTCTAACCACTGTCTCCCCACTACAGTTTTATGACCACTTTCACATGATGACACAGATGCTCATTGACATTGTTGCCCATTGTCACTAATAACATCGACATATATCATTATCAATAAAGCTATTAATGTGAATGACTCGTATATTTTGTCTCCTACAATTGTCTTGATGTTAATGCATGTTATTACATATAAGATTAATGCATGTCATTCTAAAAAAAGTCAAT